CTGTAGAGGAGTGAGTGAAGTCTGAAGTGCAACTGACGATCCACCACCGTCAAGGTAATACAATCCACCAGCCTCATGCCCCCCACCAATCTTCTTCCACATCTTGAGATCCTGAAAAACACAAAAGGAAGGGAAAAATGTAATAGAGAAATTAAGAGACTTAGTTAATTTACTAATAGACATAAGATTGAATGGAAACTTAGGGACATATAGAACAGATGATAAAGAAAGAGAAGTCGTGTCAACATTACCAACACCACAGATGGGAGAAGATGAACCGTTGGCAAGGGTAACAGTTTGAGATGTGGAAGTTTCAGAGAGGGAAGAGAACACACCTGGAGTCCCGATCATGTGATCAAACGCTCCAGAGTCAATAATCCAGGGAGAGGGTTTGGATGACAGACAAGCTATACCTGAATGGGCAAGGGTGGCAGTAGTATGCTGTAAAGTAGTTTGGAGGAACCTCTCATACTCATCACACGGTACACTCACCATCTCCTTCCCGGAAACAGATGTAGATGTGGAAGGAGTTAGATATGTCTGTGGGTTATCACTGACATCAACCTCACCAACTATTGCATGATTGGCCCATGTAGAAGGAGGGCCATGAAGATCATAATAGAAATTCACCGAATGTCCGTCCCTACCACAATGGATACACTTTCTTATAGAGTTATTTTTTCCTTTACCACGGCCTCCCCCTGAGTCACGACCACCACCACGGCCAAATACGGAACCACCACGATCTCCTCGGGAGGCATGTCCTCCCCCTTTAGTACCATGTCCACCTCCTCTGGCTATCACAAATGTTGATCTGTCAAACTGTGTAGGATTCTCTGTAGGTCCCAAAGAAATCCTACGAAGTCATGCAAACACTTCCTCAAGTGTAGGAAGAGTAGATCCCCCTAATATTTGGGCCCTAACTAGTTCATATTTTGATTTCAACCCCACTAAGAACCTAGTGACATCTAGTTGTTCCCTYTRTTRTTGYTKRACCTTARCATCTRGAGTGAGGGGATGATAGACATTGAGTTCATTTCTGAGGTTCTTCATACTGGCATAGTACTCTTCTAGGGTTTTATTCCCTTGCTGTAGATCAAAATATTCCTGATAGAGATGATATGCCCTTGTAGTATTATCCTGCCCAGAATAAAGCTTCTTGGCATGTTCCCATATGTCCTTAGTTGTATCTAAGAACATAAAGTTGGCACTTATTTTGGGTTTCATACTATTCCATAACCATGTCATGATTTGGGCATCTTCCTGTTTCCGGTCATCAAACCCTAAAGAGTTAGCAGGTGGTTTATCTTCCTTCACATGCTTCACTTTCCTCTTTGCCTTGAGAAAAACTTCCACTAACTTGGCCCATGGTACATAGTTCTCACCATTAAGTTTAATTGAAGTCATCTGCACACCCAGATAGTCAGAGGGAATCACCACACTAGGTTTCTGATCACTACGACCATCTCTAGTTGYTGCCATGATGCTCTTCCAATGCTACTTCTAATCTGAATTCCCGGTCGCCAACTAAGTATTGTTGTCAGGAGTTTGATGTTCTAGACACTACAGCAGTCCCCAAACACAGTTGATAGGTACACAAGCTTTTGTTCTTGTTCACACCACTACTGATTTCACAAAATCATGAATCACACTAACATTAATTCAGCAACTCACTAACTGCATATAAGCCCTCTTGAAGCTGCTCAATAGAGATTGAGCATCACAAGCACCACCACACAACCATAGTTGTCACACCTGGTCCAAAGAAAACATCAACTGCTGCCACTACAGTAACCCGTCATTCAATTCAGGTCACTTGTGACCAACAAAGGCTTCAAAACAACTACAAACCAACATAAAAGGGTCAAACATACCCTTACACCATTCGGCCACTGTAAACACAGCCTATTCTTGGACCTTTTTCCAAGAACCAAGGCTACAAACAACCTAGTTCTCTAGGTTCTAATCAGTCCCCACAAATTTTGAAGGCTTTCAACCCAGAAATACCAACAACACACAAAAAAAAAAGGTAACCAACCTTCGATGGAGAGCTTCAGTCGACCGTCCACTTCTGAAGTTGTTTTTTTTTTCTTTTCTTGAAAAACAATCAAGTTTTGTGCAGAGGAAGAAGGACTGAGGTGTTCTCAGACCTAGGTCAAATCAGTGTTCTCCATTTTTCAGCCCAGAAAGAAGAAAAAAAATGAGGTCACGAACAGAAAGGAGCGGGTCACGAATCTGTGAGGAGATTTAGAGAGCAACGTCCTGCTTTGATACCATATTAGTTCTATAGCTATAGTAGTTCGAACCAGGAGAAGAGAAGAAGAAGAAGAAGAAGAAAAATATGATGATGATGACGAGAACAGTCGAACTTGATAGTCTAAACCCTATCAGTCGACCCTTAATATGGATTAGCCTCTAATTAGTAGTATAAAGACTAAACTGCCCCCACTTAAGTATGGGACAGGAAGTCTCTATTAAAACTGCCACATAAGCACATAACTTAACAGAAATAAAATGACTAATCTACCCTTATTTGGCTAGCTCTAACAAAATGCATCCTTACTGTTGATACAAATTCCACCTTCCCTCTAAAAAGCAATGTTTCTCAGCCGTTTCAATGTTCTCAAATCCCACCCTATACTCTACCAACTTATGGTGGCTTGGTTGGTAGGATCACTCATTGTAGTAGAGACTTGGGATCAAAACCTGTTACCACCAAGGTTGAGGGTTAAAGGGATGGGGATGGACTACCATCGTTGTGTAACTCCATGAAGAAAAAAAAATAAAGGAAAAACTATCCACCCTACTCTTGTGACGTTTGGGAGTAATAGATCATTTTTCTCTCAAAGGAACTGGTTGAAGAATTACAAAAGAGCTAATATGGTATCATCTATTATAAAACTAAAAGTTTTCTAAACTAGGGTAGCTTGTAGGTCTTTTCAAGTATATTAACAAACGGCTTACCGAAAAAAAGGTATATTAATTAACAAACTATTCTATATGATCACCAAACTGACAGAAGACCCAAACTTCAGAATAATGCCTTCTTTTCCCATGCAATTTTTTAACATCCCAGAAGACAAATTTGGGAGACAAGCCTATAAATTGCACCTTAGAAGTAGCTATATCCATGGCAGGAGTAAAAGTTGAAAAAAAAAAAAACAAAAACTTGGCACTAGTACTCAGCACTACCTGAGAAAGGAAAGAACTAGCATGCATGAAGGAGCTTTATCTGAAATCTGATGATCAATGAGGGAAGGAATCATGGCTAAAAGTTACCAACATTTGGAGTTCTGGTTTGAGTTAGTCATGGAGTCATTATTTGAATTGGGTCCCTCCCTACAAGTCGTTTTATTTTAATTGAAGCATGATCTTTCACAACAGTGAGAGGTCAAAGGGCCAAGATTCTTTACAATTTAAAATGTCTTCTGTGGAGAAAATGCCAACATCTCCGGGGACAATAAAGAATTTTGGTGCTTGAAATCAAAATTAGAAAGGAAAGCAAGTTGCTATAGTATAATCCAATATAATATAATTCATCCATAAGATGGTATGCTTCTGTTTCCATGTTTTTCTCAAGAAGCAAGAAATTGGGTGAATCTAGTCTAACAACCCCAAGACATAAACAATAATGCCAGAGATATATTAGATTTGCTCCTGGTAAATCAACGACCACCTTTCCCTACTTGTGGAACCCTGAATTAAACTAGTTGGGTTTTAAGAGAATGAAATATTTATAGAATCCTTAATCTAAGAGAGCCTTCCATACTAAGAATATGTAAAATATGCAACTAATTAGTGGTCAGCTCAAATATATATAGGCTTACCTAATCCCTGAATAGTTCTCCATTTGAAATGAACTTTCTCCTTCTTATATTCTGTGTTTTTGTTAGCCAATCATTGATCTCTAGGGAATAATTGGTGGAGGGCTCATCACCTACAAAGGGTTGTTGATGAATTCAGCATAAAATACTTGTACCAACCTCCCAGTGAGAGAGAGGCCATGGGTCCATGCCCTAAAGCTAGAGAGAGAAAGAGAGATTAATTAAAAGGGTCTCCCCCACAAATAAGATTTGGAAATCCACAACCAGCAACAGTAGGAATCTAATAAAATTTAATGGTTTCTTTCTCTCTCTAGGCAATTTGTAGGGTTTTCTCCTTAAAAAAACAGTCTTGGATATCCATAACATATACCTCATACCTAATGTAGGAATAGGACCCAATGTGAAACAAACTGGGAAAATCCATGTAGCCTTGGACCTGTGCACAAGGGTCCCTTGAAACAAATTTCTAGTTAAGGAATGGAATCATTTTGGGGCATGGTTTTAGGTATTGACAAGGAATGGATGCTGACCCATCAACAAAAGGGATAATACCGAACAAACCCATCTCAATGGCAGGATTGAGTGGTTTTGCTTGTGCATGATTGTTCTAATGTTTCGGTTGAGACTTGAGAGGCTATAAACCAAAATTAGAAAAAAAAAAATTGTTTCCTCAAAGGCCCTGAGTTGTCAAAGTAAAACTCATCATTTATGAAGTATGAAAGATCAATTTCCTTCTCTTTCCTTTTCCTTTTTTATAGAAGGAATCAAGGAAAACCTTGTATCATCTCACATTAAATGTTGAATTATTTATTAATTTAATTTTCTTCCATGAGAATACTTAAACTTCTGAGGACCCCATATAAGAGCCAATAAGAAAGTATAGCCGGTTAGGGGAGTGGAGCAGGAATCAGTGATTCAATGATTCTGGTGGTTTCCTGATAAAAGACCCTATTTATTTTATTGTTTATTATAATATTTTTTACTTCTTTTTTTTTTCTTTTCAAACAACCGCACGCTTGCTTGAGAGTTGAGACCAGTCTGAAAGGACAAGATCTTCTATACCATGAAAGAGTTTAAATCTGATCATGATATTTACTTCAGAGGGTGATAAAGCAACCCAACAGAATAAGGCTTCTTCACACATACACAGGAGAGAGAGAGAGAGAGAGAGAGAGAGAGGGAGAGAGAGGTGCAAGATAAGAGTGGTGCACAAAAAATAAAAACTGGAATAATCCTCGTCAGCCAAACTCGAAAAGAAAGTTGTAATCTTCTGTTTTCTCTGGTGTGCTCTTTTCAGTTCAGCTGTGCTCTACAAGAGGAGTTGCTCAGAGGTCTTGAAGAAATCTGAGCTACACAAATGGTAGGAGAAATTAATATTGATTCTGCATCTCTATTTCCTCCCTTAAACACCCTTCTTTTGCATTTGTTCTACCTTTGAAGATGATTTGCCTAAAGATTTTCAAAGTCAAATTGATGATAAACCACTGGAGCTTTGATTTTTTTCTCTTATCTTTATCTAAATCAGTTCTCTATTATTATTATTTTTTTCTCTGTAAGATGGTTTAAGAAGAAGGTTTTGCATGGCGAGTCATAGATTTGGAGAAAATGGTCTGTCTGCAGATTCTGGATCTTCAAACTACCCTACCTTTCATGGCATCAGCCATCCCGTCACCAATTACATGTATTTTTTTCAATCCTTTTATTGATCTCCTCTATCTTATCCTTTATTATATGGTTTAAAAATCATAATTTCCAAGTATCCTTCAATAGGTTTTCTTCCTTTACTCGTTCCTTGCTCTCTTGTTACAAACACTTTATTTTTGAGAAAAACCAGTTTTCTCTTACATGAGTTATGGGTTTCTATGTTCAGTAATCAACAGGAATCTGCTTTTGATTTGGGAGAGTTGGAAGAGGCAATTGTGCTCCAAGGAGTTAAGAGCAGAAACGATGAAGCCAAAAGAAGTAGGTCTCTCTATTATTTTTACCTTTTTGTGATGTTTGCTAAGCATAACCCAACTCAGAGAGAGAGAGAGAGGTTTGAATTAGTCTATAGAAGCCTCAGGGTGGCTTGCCTTTTCCAACACAGTAATCATTCTCAGGCAGAAAACTTCAATGGCATGAAGCGTCATACATGGAAACCTAACTTCTTAGCCTGATTTACTGACTCTTAACTGCAGAAAAGGAAATCAATTTTCGCCTTTGATATGGCTTGAAGATTTGGGAGTCTTTATTTGATGATGCTCAAGGATTCTGCTTTTGTGATTCTTGCAGCTTTTTTACCAGCCAGGCCAGCTGCTACTCTGGAAATGTTCCCCTCGTGGCCAATGAGATTCCAGCAAACTCCAAGAGTAGTTTCTTCCCCCTTTGACTATTTTCTTTTCCTACGTCTGTTTTCATCAACCTCGATGGCAATCACAAAAACTGCAAGATATCTCTCTCATTTTTTCCTACAATGTGATTCTGAGAACATCCTTTACTTCTTTAATTGAATTTCTAATCTGGGCTCTGATATGCCAGTGGGAAATTTATATTTGTAAGGTGACTCTGATGATTCTTTTTGATGATTTTCAAATACCCAATTGATTATCTTATTCTTCTAATCCAGGGTAGTTCGAGATCAGGAGAGAGTACTGATTCAGGGTCTGCTCAGAATACTTTTTCCTTCCAAACCGATTCTCAGTTGGAGCCTGAATCTCCCCTCAGTGAAAAGGCATCAAATCAGGCCATTGACCAGAAACCGCTGCAGCAACATCACCAAATAGAGATGGCAAATGACACTTCAAAAACAGGGGCATCACCAATTCAACAAGCCAAACCATCAGAAAAGGTTATTCACTGCTACAGCTCTCTAACAATCTCTTCTTCTCTCACCAAATCCCAAAGCTCAGGAAAAGGTGTCATTTGAGCTACGACCTACTGTTATAGGCTTGATTTTACCTGTACACATAAAAGGACACAAATCCCAACAACCCTGAGAGAATCAATCAAAGCCAGACTTGTCCAGCAAACCAGCTTTACGGTTGGTTTTCTGATAAAAACCTGACATCTTAAAAAACAAGTTCCAAAGCCATCACTGTTCCATAAGTTATTCTTCAAAATAATGCCTTATAACTTTCTGTATGTTTTGGATTGTTAGATTCATGTCTCCATCTTAAAAGCTTGAATCACACATTCCGAGAAAAAGCAAGGAAGGAAGAAACTTCAGCCTAGTGAAGGATAGCAAAGATCCTCATAACCCCAGAAAAGCCAGAATCTTTATGAAGTTTTTTTTTTGACAAATGCTATTCTTTAACTGTTTGTTGTCTCAACTCTCAAGATCTGGAGCTATACCAAAAGAAAATGTGTTTTTGCAATTATCCCTAGCTTCCCAGATATTCTCATACCCATTTGCACCTCCCCTCGCCCCAAAAAAAGTATGGTTGCATCCAAATTTCTGAAAAGAAAATCTTGAAATTTACATGCATGAAACATTAGTATACTATTTTCTCTTCAATTCTCTTGGACATTTTAAAGTCTTAAAACCGATCTTCTGAAAATCAAATTTCTGAGTTTCGACCTTCTAAACAAGTAAACTTGCACCATATCAGTAACTGCTGTATACTGTAGATCTCTTAATAGCTAGTATTTAGTAGCCACAAGGGGTCCTCAGTCTAAACTCTCCATTTTCTCCTGAGACAAAAAACCTGCCTAGAAATTGCCCCCAAAAGCTCTTTTTTAAGCTTTGATTGACTATTGTTAAATAACACAATTTATTTCTCTTTTTTAAAATGTTGCAGAGAAGGGGTGCTGGTTCGGCTTCAGAGAAAACACTCGATGCAAAGGTCATGAAAACGAAGTCAGAGATAGATTTAGAAGAAAAAGCAAATAAATAAATGAATAAACTCTCTTTGGTTCTCTTACGTTGTGTTGGATTCAACCACACTCTTTAACTCTTTCAATCTCAGACTTTTAAGCTGATATTATTAACCTCTTTTTTTTTTTAATTTTCGGTTGTTGTTTCAGACTCTAAGACGTTTGGCACAGAATAGAGAGGCAGCAAGGAAGAGTCGACTTAGGAAGAAGGTGGGTCAGATTCAGACGATCGCTTTGTTGCCGGAAAACATTAATTCAGGTTGACTTCAAGAAAAAAGAAATAAAAAATCAGATGCCCATTTTCCTTTTTTTATCTTCAAATATTTTTTCCTGGCAGGCTTATGTACAGCAGCTAGAGACTAGTAGAATAAAGCTTACTCAGTTAGAGCAGGAGCTTCAACGAGCGAGATCTCAGGTTCTAACAATTTCCTGTTATTTTAATTAGATTAATAATATTATTTTATAAATTTGCACAGAAATTACTAATTCAATTTTTCTTTTTTTTTCTGTTGAATTTGATGGTGATTAGGGTCTCTTCTTATCAGGAGCCGGTGGTGCAGCAGGTGGGAGTGGGACTATCATCAGCTCAGGTGAGTTCTTCCATCTTCCGGTTCATAGAATTACAATAATATCCTTCCTTGATGTGATATTTACGTGAAATCAGAGATTACTAGATTATTTCTGGCAATCTTCGAAATGACTAAACTACCCCTTCAATCTTCTCTTCCTCTGAAGGGTAAATATACAGCAATTTGTTCAGTCTGAACTCTGAAGATCAAAAATTCTGCGTTGTTTTCATGCAGGAGCTGCGATGTTCGACATGGAGTACGCGAGATGGTTAGAGGACGATCAGAGGCACATGTCGGAGCTCCGGACAGCTCTCCAGGCACGTCTGTCGGACGGCGACCTCCGAATAATATTAGACGGGTATCTCGCACACTACGACGAAATCTTCCGGCTGAAGGGGATCGCCGCAAAATCCGACGTCTTTCACCTTGTCACCGGAATGTGGGCAACTCCGGCCGAACGCTGTTTCCTCTGGATGGGTGGATTTCGGCCGTCTGAACTCATCAAGGTCCAAAACCTGTACAATTTTCTTTTGGAGGGTATTTAAGTCTTTTTGTATGTTTTGAACCGGTCATACCTCCATTATGTGCCCAGGACTTACGAGGGGTTCATTGGTAGTTTCTTGAAAATGGAAGAGCAATTTTTCAGGTTTCAGCTCAGGGTCTAACTCTTGCCGAGAAGGTTTGAGGAGACATTCAAAGTTTCAAACCCTGACTGAAAGAAACTGACTGAACCTTTTTTTGGTCCTCCAATGACGTCTTAATTACAGTTATACCATCATTTCACGTAACAGTTGACATTTAAATGACCAAACTACCCCTACACTTTTCAAAATGCCAAAAAGTTTTTTTATCTTGCGCTGCATGGTTCCTCGCTTGTTTACGTTCTTTTCTTCTTTCTTCTCCTCTGAAGTCTAGTCTGTACTGTTTTCCCAGACTGAGATTTTTCTTCTGTCTTTTAATGGTCAGATACTATTGCCCCAGTTAGACACATTGACGGAGCAGCAATTCATGGGCATATGCAGCCTCCAGCAATCCTCGCAGCAGGCGGAGGAGGCTCTCTCTCAAGGTCTAGAGCAGCTCCAGCAGTCTCTCGCCGACACCGTCGCCAGCGGGTCGCTTAGCGAGGGGACCCACGTCGGGAACTACATGGATCAGATGGCCATGGCACTGAGCAAGCTATCCAACCTCGAAGGCTTCGTTCGACAGGTAATTAACCAGACTCTCCAAACACAAACAGAACGGTTATTTGCAATTCAAACCCTCCTACTCCTGATCTTTCAAGCTTCAGCAATGGTGGGAAGTAGAACTTCCGGTGTTCTTCTAGAAAGTACTGAGGCAAACGTAGCTTCATATCATGAAGTAGGTGCCAGATTCCGGCCAGAATTCTAGCTTACAGTTGAAGTGATCTCTCTCTCTCTCTCTCTCTGAGGATGGAGATTGATTGAGATAAGACTTATACAAAGGAAGAAAGAAGGAAAGGAAGGGTGAGAGGCAATAATGGACTTTGTTTGTTTTAAACGACCTAATCAACAGGCCAAGAGAGCAGCCAATAATACTTAGATGGGGTGGTTCATCATTATTCATCAAGCGAAGCCAAACAAGGTCGTCATACTTTTACCTCACGAATCATTCTCTCCTAATCTGACAGAACTTTTAGGCCAATAACTTCTTGCCATGTGGTAAAAGAAAAGTGTGACGTTTTCAGGGGAGTTTGCGTGTAGGGTGGACAAGTACATGTGGTCAACCCTTTAGAGATTAGACTTCAATATTTCAGAACTCCTCATGGAAGTAAAATGTGTAAAACTATTCCCTATTCCTGGAGAGCCAATCACGATGCGACACCACATCTAATGCATAAACAACTAGTGAAGTTCTTTTGGGAGGTAGTTATCTTAGTTAAATGACCAAAATGCCCTCCTCCCAGCCCTAAGTTATCAAGCAATCGATCAAAGCTCACGTTAAGTGTTGCCTTGTTCCATGGACAGTGGGGGATCTGCCACATCATCCTTCTGGGGCCCCGCCCTTCTTCATGACAAGGTCATAGATGAATGGGCAGAAGGGTAATCTTACTTGAGAAAGTCAAATACTAATATTTTTTTTTTTACTTCTTTAGAAGCAATTGGATGTCATTGTCTAGACAAAAGCCACAGAAATTTCATAAGGGAAGAGGTCTCTCCCCAAATGTCTATGGCTAGGTCATGATGTAATGTGAGGTTGTAAAGGTATCAAGGGACCATTCCACATAGCACCTTGGGATGTGGAAACCCTAACCATACCCATCAGCAAGATTAAAATATTTTTGAGAGCTAAATTGGACATGATTATTAAATTAAATAGAACAATAATAAATGAATAGAATATGGACATTTCTTATTCCTTTATCCATCTTTAGAATAATCCAAGCCTCACAAATAGGGACAACTTCATGGGTTTCAACCCTTTTGAAATTTTTATCTATATTTAGGGTTTGTGCCCATTTCATCTTCCAGTGAGGACCCATTTCAACATGATCAGAAAGCTAATTAGATGAACTTGATAGCTGTATTAGAGATCAATCATTTTAATCTAGGACAGGTATCTGTAAAGTGTATGTAGTCCATAACCACTCAATCCCTCATCTGCCTTTATAGCTGGTTTGAAACAAAATGATTGGCCTCACAGCTCATAAAACAGCAATCAAATTCATTTAATCCGATCTCTTTCAGTATTTGTTGAAGGATCAGTGGGTTTGTGCCCATCTCATCTTAGCACCTTAGGATGTAGAAACCCTAACCATACCCATCAGCAAAATTAAAATATTAATGAGAACAAAATTGGACATGACTATTAAATTTAATAACCCAATAAATAAATGAACAAAAACTAAGCATTCTTAATATTCTTTTTTCATGATTGGAAGAGTCCAAGCCCCACAAACAAAGAAAGCTTCCTTGGTTTCAACCCTTTTGAAATTTTTATTTAGGGTTTGTGGACCCATTTCAATATATATTGATGATGGATCAGTGGGTCTGATCCAATAATAAATTAACAAATATGTCTTCATCTGTGTAGATTTGTATTGATTATTTCTTTGTCTTGGTAGATGCTGGTTTTAAGATTTTTTTTTTAATTGTAGGCTGATAATTTGAGACAGCAAACTCTTCATCAAATGCGACGGATATTAACCATTCGACAAGCGGCACGATGTTTTCTGGCCATTGGGGAGTATTACGTCCGATTAAGAGCTCTCAGTTCCCTGTGGACATCTCGGCCTCGAGAGTATGATCTAATTTCTAATACTATTATTTTGCCCTATTGTAGGTTTTGTTTGGATAAGCTTGGGGATTTGTGCTTTTAAAGCTCAAAAGCATAAAGCCTCGATTTTATGCTTTGTATTTTGGACTTAAAAGTGTTTTCACCTTATATAATTCTGTTCTTAAAAGCAATTATTGAAGAATGTTCAAAATACTTTTTGGCACAATTTTGTTTTTCACTGCCAAAAGCTTATCCAAACTAAGCCTTAATTTCATGGTTTGTTGAGATCACTTATTCTGCAAAACAGGACACAAGTGATCAAATAAAAAACAAACCACTCTATCGTGTATGTCTTATTGGGGTCACAGGAAAATGCTACAACTATAATCACAGCAATGATACCGAAAAGATCTGATATTAAAGAGTTTTGACCAATCAAAACACCTTATGAATTTTGATGAATATTACATAATTGGTCACCAATATCATCAGGGTTTAACCAACATCTTGAAATTTTAATTAGGTGAAAATATATGTAAATCACTTTATTAATTTAGGATCTTTATTATATTACTTATGCTGCATTTGGCATTCCTTAAGACTTATCTTCTTTTGCTATTAAAAAAGCCTTAGCCACATAATTAAGGCATTTCTTTTGCTACTGATATGTATTAAACTAACACAATTTCAATTGCTTTTGAAATAGGAACTGGATCAGCGACGACAATTCAAGCCAGACAACAATGGAGATACAAATGGTTCCGCCCTGCCATAACCCTTTTTCAACCTTCTGATTGAATTCTAGAGTTTACGAGAAAGACAATTGCGGCAAGTCTCCTGTTTGCTGCTCCCTAGCCATTGAAGAAGAGCTTCTTCTTTTTCTTTTCTCTTTACTTCTTTCCTTGTAATGGTTTCATATCAATATGCTGTTACAGAAATGTATATCAATTTCATGCGCCTTCAGCTTCTAATTAATCACAGAAGGCAGGGTTTAAAATATTGATATGCACAATACCAAAGATCAAAAGTATTGAAAATTATCTGTGCATAGTCTACCATATGTATTGGTTCTCAAACCCATCAATACACTAAGGCCATGTTTGGGAGTGCTTAAGATTAAAATAAGAGCTTATTCAAATAAGCACTTATTTGCATTTGGCCCCCAATTTTTTCAAGTGCTTATTTTATATTGAACCTTTGGTAGTCTTTTTCTCTGATAAGCACTTAAATAAGCATTTGTTACTATTTTGTCCTTTATTTTCTTTTAAATTTTTAAAATATACCTTTTGAAAGCATTTTTTACAAAAGCACTTTTATAAAAATATTTTTAAGAAAGTACTTTTATGAAAGCATTTTTACAAAAGTACTTTCATAAAAGTACTTTCATAAAGTGCTTTCGTAAAAGTACTTTCATAAAAGCACTTTCATAAAAGTACTTTCATAAAAGTGATTTCATAAAATTACTTTTATAAAAGTGCTTTCATGAAAGTATTTTCATAAAAGTGCTTTCATAAAATTACTTATGTTGAAGTGCTTTTGTAAAAGTACTTCCGTAAGTGCTTTCATAAAAGTACGCTCGTAAAAGTGCTTCATGAAAGTGCTTTTGTAAAAGTAATTTTTTAAAAGTACTTTCATAAACGTACTTTCGTAAAAGTGTTTTCATAAAAGTACTTTTATAAAAGTGCTTTCGTAAAAGTGTTTTCATAAAAGTACTTTTATAAAAGTGCTTTCGTAAAAGTGTTTTCATAAAAATAATTTTATAAAATTCAACTATGGATAAATTTATAAGTGGTATTTTAAAATTAAATTAGGGATAATTTTAGAAGAAAAAATTGAATAAGTGCTTATTGTATAAGCACTTTAAAAAAGCTAGAAAGTTGGACTTAAATAAGTACTTATTTTGGGCTTATTTCCCAAATATCAATAAGTGCTTAATCGGATCAGATAGGGGGGTGATTCGAATCCAGTCCGATTTCTGATCGGATCCTATTATCCGACCCGATCTAAAGATCTGAATAAGGGGTGATCCGAATTTGACCAAATAGGATCGGATCTGATCATGATCTGATCCATTTGCACCCCTATTTAGATGTATAATGTGGGTCGTGGTCATATTGTAGTGGGCTATGTCAGGTCGAAATGTGAGCCTGGGTGGGTTGTGCCTACCTGGCCCGAAACCCCTCAAAAGGGAAGCTTGGTATGGCCCATGGCAAGGGCCTAGGAAGGTTCATGCCGATTTGGGCCAGGTCGTTGGTATACAATTTTTCATTGAAAATATGAAAACAAAAATAATGAAAAAGTGAAAATAAAGTAACAAAATAGATAATAGATTGAAAAAATAAATCCTAGAATTTTATTCTATATGAATTTGATATATATAATTGTTTATATATGTAATTTAAAAATTATAATAAATTAAATTTAAATTATATAAATTGAAAATAAAAATTGTTATATATACACACTCCACTAATAACCCCCTCCCTAAAGGTGGTCGTAAGAATCAAATCCACGTCTATGCTGGAGCCAATCAGCTAACATCAGCTAACATACTACCAAAGCCACCCCACATCTGGTATATATATATATATATATGTGTGGATTGTGTCATGCCGTGTTGGGCTGAGCGAACCACCTAACATATTAACAAAGCCACCCCACATTTGGTAGATAGATATATATGTGGATTGTCATGCTGTGTTGGGCTGCAGACCGTGCCAGAATGGCCCACTTTATCGTATTGTGCCATACTGGCCCATGGGCTCAAAACCCAAACCAAAGTTTATAAAATCAGACTAGAGAGGGAATGGTTGCCCGGGTTAGCAGTTTGCTAACTAAATTAAAAAACAAAAAATAGTCAAAAACCGTTGCTCGGGTAGACGGTTCAACTGCCTAGGTTAGCAGTTCGCTAACTAAATTAATGATTTTTGKCCAAAAAGTGGTTATGGGGTGAAACAGAACTGGTCAGGTGATCGGTTCTTGGTTTTTCCAGCCATTCTGGTTTTAAAAACACTAACCTAAACCCAGCCCACAGCTGCCCACTTTACTAGGAATAGTAATAGGAGAGGATTCGGGCAAGAATCATATTCCCCGTCCATCCCCGCCAAATTTAAAAGTTGTCCTCCATTCTTAATCCCTAATGGAGTCGGATTCCTTGTAACTAAATCCCCAAAATTTTTTAATGAACAGTATTTTTGAAAAATAAATTTATTTAAAATAATAAAAAAATTTAAAATATAAATAATATTATATATAAGTGGGTTGATGCTGTTTTTCTTTTTTGTTTTTTAGTTGATATTTTCACCATGCAAGAACAAATAAGAGGAGTGATGGATGCTGTATTGTGTTCTCCTCATGAGTCTTTGAATAAAAAACTGGTCCAAAAACAAAGCAGATATAAAAACAGATGGAAACAAAAAACCAAAAAAAAAAGGTGGTTGGGGAGTGCTGGTTGTTCTCAATTAATTGATAGAGTGGTTACTAAGAAGATTAATCAAATAAGAAAGGACGAGGAAAATCGGGATAGAAAGGAGAAAAATATTCTGAAATTTTTCTTTCTTTAATTGCTAACTTGGAAACATGAGGAAAATAATTACAACTTGCATATAAATAATAGAGAAGGAATCGTTACCATTTAATAAATGTAGATTAGAGAGATAAGACTTAATCAACGCCAATGCATTTATTGATTTATGAAAATAGAGTATTCATGATAAAGGGGATTTGTTGTTGGATTCTTGAGACTGATTTTTTTTCTTTTATTTTTTTCAATTGAGGCATGCAATAGTGAGGGCACCCACGACAACAGCAATGAGATCGATGCCTTTCTAAGATGCCACGTGTTTAATTTATGAAAATCAGGACTCACCCACCATGCAATTGTATGTATTTGCAAAAGTTTGAGCAAAACCAATGAGCAAAATCAAACTTTAGGTCCAGTTTGGAAGGAGTACAAATAGTAGAGTACAAAATATTGTATTTTGTATTATTTTATATGTATTTGTATAGTATACATTTGTATTTGTATCATTGTTTTCAAAACCGGACAGGAAAAACTGGAAACTGGTTATTTGATCGGTTTCGTTTTCCTCTAAAACCATTTTTTCCCTTAAAACCGTTGATTTTGGTCAGCAAACCGCTGAACTGGTCGGTTAACCGTTCAAACGGTTTTGACCATTTTCTAATTTTTTAATTTCTTTTTAAATTTTTTTATTTTTTTTGTCAGAATGAGTTGGCCATTCAGGTCAAACGATCAGACCATTCGATCCGATAACCGGACCCCTGACTGGTTTAGTCACCGGTTCATTTTTAAAAACCATGATTTGTACTCCTACCAAATTGAGCCTTATGAAAAAAGTTTGAAGGAAAAAGATAGGGAAAGATAAAAAACTTTTACAAGGCTTTTCCCTACTTTTTCCTTCAAACCAAACACAGCCTAAATTCCTCTAATTTCTGTATTCCACACAGCCAGTTCCGCCCTCTATTCCATTTTCATCATTGATCCATAATCCATACTTGGATATTAGACTTTTCATGGGCTCACAAATTAATTTAAGCCCAACTGTAAAATAATCTCGGGCTGGCGAACATGAGAACACGGCTTCAAATCTGAGAATAGCGACTTTGTGCGAAAAATGCTATGTTTGTATTTGTTTTAGGTGTAAATTCAGTTTTACATCATGAGAAATATAAATCAGTTTAGTTGTCGATGAAAATTGGGATTAGTAGATTTTGAAAATTTACACCAATCATGTTTGATTGTGAAGGTGTAAATTCGGTAAGATGGGAGTCGACACAGTAGATAAAGATGGTACTGCTGCATTCAACTATAGTGTCAACATAGAATGGGAGATACTGTAGTCGACACAGAATAGGGAGTGCTGAGAGCATTGTCTTGCCATCGCTGGTTTTAATCGAATATAGGTCTGAGTTCGTTGCTGCGACAGGGGATCGTGCTATCAGGAGAAGTTTCACGTGGTCACTGCTACAATCGATTCTATTTGCCTAGCAGAGGGAACAGATTTTATGTGATGGTTTCAGGGAGGCGAAGATCAAAGTGAAGAAAGAGGAAGGATTGTCGTTCTGCGTTCGTCTCGAAGGAGAAGATGATATACAGTGTCTTCGGGTGATTTCAACGATTCAAAAAAATAGAACAGAGGAGAGGTCGGAGGTGGTTGCAGTGGCGGTGACAAAACAGAAAAAGAAAAAAAGGGGAAGAAGAGGAAGAGAGAAAGAGAAGAGAGAGAATTGCAAATCTGTCGCTGCCACCCTGGGTTCAGATCTGCCGCTGCAACAAGTTGCAGCATCTGGTTCAGGCCAACTTCATTCGTGTGTAGAAGTCGAGAGGCGAGAGAGGGCTTCGTTGATGGGGACGAAGAGGGTTTCTGTTATTGGGAAGGTTGAAGGGTCAGTGGTGAAGAGGACTCCACCCAGTTGTCAAAATCGCCGGTGCCGATCTGAGTTTTGCCGGTGCCAAAATCTCATATTAGATGTTTGACGGAGATGCATCGGCACCAATGAGAAAAAATGATGGTTAAAACAGAGAGGAAGAAGACATTAGGGTGAGAAGAGTATGATAGAAGTCAGGTGAGTTTTAGTTTTACATCCTTAATTTCGATGTATATTTTATGTCGATTATCGGTGTAAAGAAATTCAAAAACGAGTCTTACACTAATTTATGGTATAAAATTGTTCTTTTCAAACATGCGTAAAATCAAACCGGAGTGTAAAATTTACCCCGGTTCAATTTTCCATTTCAAACAAACGTGGTCTATGGAAAAAATTGAAGTTCATCTAAATCCTCAAAATTTCATCTCTGCTAGACCTGTTCAAGGGCCAGGCTCCGCGCCCAATTTTTTATTATGTTACGCTCAGACTTCGAGTTGGACCTATTCAAATTTTGACAAAAAACCAAACCTGAACCCGGCTCATGAATATGTCTCCATTAATGTAAGCTTGTTTTACACTGTCTGTCCCAAACCGAGACAAAGGAAAGGGTTTTGTAAAGTTGACAACTGAAAATAGACTAAACAGCGTTCCTGGAGCCGACCCATATAGTTGGAACACGATGAACTGAATTTTCAAAATTTAGATATTTCG